AAGGCAAACACAAAATGATATTTTTTAAAAAATACAAAAATGATGTAAAAAGAAGTAACTATCAAACTGAATGTAGAGCTATCTTCCACTAACTTACAGCAATCTGAGATCTAAAAATCTACTGCATTAATGGCCTTACTTTTGGAAGTATCCAGTAACTTTTTTCCCTTACAGCCAAGCGGAACAAATCACCTCACTTCCCTCAACCCTACAAGCTATATTTAAAATACCCCAGGAGTGGAATACTAATTCAAAGAGGTAACCATCCCCTCAGGGCATATAAATCACATTTAGCATAAGGCAAGCTAGCATGCAGTACTCTTATCAGATGTACATGAACTACAAATATTTCTAGAAATAACTAGAAAAGCATATCATTTTTTCCACACCAAACTATAAAATATATGACATGCATTTCTGTTCCACTATGTCAGGGATTTAAACATTTGTAAAAAGATAAGTATTTCTCATCTGATAGAAAGAACTGTATTTATTTCTCAGTTGCAATATACCAGTAAAATTAATATTTATAATATGCCTTCTGTTATCCTATCATGGTAATAACAAATATGGGCCCTCCTTTAAAAACAACCAACCTATCCTTTCCATTTCACTGCTAAAATACCCTCCATTATATCAGCGAAGGTATAGGAATCACCCACAAGCAAGATCCGTTCATGCCTGCAAAAGTGTAAGAGTCTCAAAGTGGAATATAATTGCTAGAAGTGGTACTTACTCTGACAATTTTATATTTAGTGAAAACTATCATAGAGACATTTCCCCTCCCCCAATTCTTTCTCACAACAAAAATCTTCCTCCTGGAATGTGTGGAATCAACAACTTGCAGGCTGTATTGTCTTCAGTGAATGCAAAACTAAAAGCCAACTGGCAAGAAATAGCTCAAGGGATAGGCAGAAGGAAGGCAAGTCAGGAGTGCAGCCCTTCTTAAAATTGCTCTCAATACTCAGAAATATTTACTGAGGTACATTTTCCGCTATCATTTACAATTTGGCCTACATTTCAGTGGAAACAAACTTTTTACTGCCTTAGATACAAATACCTTGCTTGTTACTGTGCTACCTTTATCTTGACCTTGAGGCAAAATTTTATTTCTAATATGTTCTAATATTTAATTTATAAGTGATTTCTCCCATCCTTCTCTCTTCCCAGTCTGTTAAAATGCTATTTTCTTCTCTAACTCTCTTTTCTTTCCAGATTCCTTTACCTAGTCCTCTAGAGATGAATTTTTAAAAACTTAGAGACAGACACAAAGAGAGAGATAGAGAGGTTTTTAAGGCCTTGTAGAAAGCCAGCAGACCTGGGATGAGGGATGCTGTTCAAAAGGGCAGGCTCTAATCTTCATGATTAACATCTTTATTTCTCTTTCACTGGACAAAAACAATAAAGAGCAACACTGCCGCTGTAGAACACAGGGCAATGGTCCTGCTTTGAAAACCAGAGAAAACAAACCTTCTAATAAAGCAATTAGTGCTTCCAAATTCTGTGGTGACAATCTTCACATCTGAGGAAAGAACTGTCCAAAAAATGTCAGCCACAGTCAACATCACAAAATCTCACAACCTACAGCAAAAATCAGCTCCCAGTTTTCCCTCAACTTTGCAGGTTCTTTTGAGTTTGTGCCTGTCTGCTTGCTAGATTTCTTCTCTTCCTTCTTTTCTTCCTTGACATTTCTGTTTCTCTTGTTCCTCTAGGTTCTAAAAACACAGTCAATGACAGCTAAAAAGGTTTAGTCAGCAAAGGTCAAAATGTTTAAGCACCTAAAATATAATCTATATAGCTCTATAAAATATTTATACTCTACATAGTATTACAGCAATCCTGTATAGATAGTACTCAACTTACAACCACAGTTGAGCCCTTTCTGTTGTTAAGTGAGACATTTATTAAGTGAGTTTTGCCTCATTTTACGACCTGTCATGCCACAGTTATTAAGTGAATCATTGCAGTTGATAAGTTAGTAACCCTGTTATTAAATGAATCTGGCTTCCCCATTGATTTTGCTTGTGAGAAGGTTGCAAAAGGTGATCACATGAATTTAGGACACAGCAACCATCATAAATATTAAACAGCCAAGCACCTAAATTTTGATCACATGATCATGGGGATGTTACAAAGGTCCTAACTGTGAAAAAACATGGTAAGTCATATTTTTCAGCACTATAATTTTGAACGGCCGCTAAATGAACTGTTGTAAATTGAGGATTACCTGTATAATAATCCAGGAGTCTCTAATCTTTGGGGGCTTAACAGACCTAGTAGATTATTATTCTCTAAGAAAGTTTATGGTCCAATTAATAGCCTTTCCAGAACCATTACTGGAAATAAAGATAATGCTGGAGGTTGGCCCTATGCTTTGCAGCATGTCAGTTTTCCATTTTTTTAAATTAAAACGCTCCCCTGCCCCCAAAAGTAAAAAGGAGAATCAAGCAGCATGGCATACATTAAGGGAAGCATCCTTGGGCATATTGGCATGTCTAGGTGCTTTGCCAGAGACCCAGTGAGAAATCTTATTACCATATTGCAGATTGAAGAGACAGAAGAAAACAATGGCTTCATCCCACTTCCCTTTCCCACCAAAGCAAAGACACCTGGACTAAAATTATATCTGTATGTTCTTCATACGTCTGACTGAAATACTGTATTTCTCATTTTATTCAATAGAACACAAATAAATGGGAAGATAATTATGCAGTTCAGTGTGCCTTATATACTTTTTTCTTCAGCAAATGACAAGTGGGAAGAAAATCTGGACAAGGATGGAAAATAGCATGGAGCAACGGGACTATCTGATCTCAGTCAGAGTGCTCCTCACTACCCTCTGAGTTGCAGTGAAGTCAATGGCTGCATTAATTCCAAGAGCTGTAATCTTTGTGCATTACTTCTGTTCCATCTTTCTTAAAACAAACAAGGAAACAAAACCCAACAACCCTCATGGCACCATACATGCCCCCCCCCATTTTATTTTCACAATGAGCCTATTGAGGTAGAATATACTAAGGGCTAATAACCAGCCCAAGTGTCCAATTACAGAATTATTGATAAAGGGTAAACTCAGTAAGAGTTTTAACTTGGGAATTTAATAACTATAGTACATTGTTATCTGCACCCTAATTTTCCAAACTGTGAAACGTTTCAAATTACATATTTATTTGAGTTGTTTTCTTTTGAAGAAAGCCATGGAGAGTTTAGCATTTTTATAATTGGAGTTGTTTTCAAAAATAATAAAGGTTGAGCACAGCAGGAGACCTGATTCAAAGTCTGACTTTGACAGACAGCTAAAGTCCCTTGCTTTATTATTAGAAAAGTAAAAAATCCAAATTGCTATTATTGAGAATCCAAACTCAACTCACTACCTCTTTCTATGTCTCAACTTCTGTAACACAATCAGCAATCTGTTGTACTTTTTACCCAGCAACACTTTGTCTCCTCTCCCTCTCTGGCTAGCGCAGAAAATCTATGAATCATTGAGGCACCTTAACTGCTATGTCTAGGTAATATTATATATTTATCAGCACTCCCTACTGTGCTGGCAGGAATTGCCTCAGGGAATAAGCATTTGACAAGAAGAAAATGTGTTTGCTTTATAACTTATTTTTTGCCTACTCAACAGAGTTGACTTCCTGTGTCCTTCTTCTGGCAGACAAACAGAAGCCATGGAATGGAAAGAGATTCTTGATTTGGGGAAGATGGGCCAGATCTATACAATATTAAGATTTAGTACCAGCAAAGCAAACGTCATTTCAATAGCACTATCATTTGCATTTTACTTGGGTCACTAAGACTCAGAAATAACAGAGGGGTTTTCACAACACAGTTGGCTAATATGGTTTCTATGACTGTGACTCAGTGGCTGAATTTGTAGAATTCACGTGGTTTACTCAATCTGATCTCTGAGTTTCCATACTATGTGCAACAGTAAAACACAGCAGGCTAGCTTGTAGTTCAGTGTGTGCTGTGTGAACACAGTTACTATGTTGTGGGAACCAATTCATTAAGCTGATTCTCTGAACCATAATTGAAACCATGGATTAATGTGTTGTATAGTCAATGGCTTAGCCAACTAAATTTTATCCTTGTTGATCAAATTCAGCCCATGTTGTTAATTTATGGTTTCAATGCGTGTCATAAACTCAGGTTAATTAAATACAATATGTGAATAGGGCCAGCATAGTTAATATGCAGTCCTGCATCTCCCAAACATCGGATTTTTTTCCAAAGTAAATAAACACAACTGAGGTTCTTAACTTGAATTCCTGAGATTTTAAAATTCAGCAACGGTGCGTAGACCCGCAATCTGTGTGTATTACGTACCATCTTTTTAAAGGTAAGAATTCATAGAAGAGTCTACAGGAGCGAGGCAACAATAGTCACCTAATTTAAGATGGCATTATCTTTGCTTTTTATCAAGCCACTTCTCCACACACACCCTCTTTTTTTGGACTACCTCTCTTCTGCTGCTACCAGGGCCGCAAAAACAGAAAAGAAAGGACCATTAAACATGGCTGCGTATGACCAAAGGCAGGTTTCGAGGATCACGAACCACGCAGGCCAAAAACCTGACCTGGCGTGAGGGGGAGGGGCGGGTCAGGGCAGGGCAGTAAGTGGATCGGGTTAGGATGGGCGGGGCCCGCTCTCCTCGAGGCGGCTGCCGTTGCAGGCGCGTGGTGAGCGCTGGAATGCGCGGCACCGCTCGCCTGCCTTCGCCGTCGCCCTCCCCACCGCCCAGCGGATGAGCCTCCTTGCCGGCCCTTGACTCCCGCTGGCCGCCCGAGGGGCTTCCCAGGCGAGCGCGAAGAAGGGAAGGTGAGGAACCCACGACCTGGGCGGAGAGGGAAAGGGGGGGGGGGACTCTGTTGCGCTGGCGGCAAGAGGGACGCGGGAGCGAGCTTGTGGCGCTGTCCAGGGCTGATCTGGAGGAAGGCTGTTAGTGCTGCTGCTGCTGCTGCGCATGGGACGGCGGCGGAGTGGGTGGAGTGAGCGGGTGGGGAAAGCCGAGCCCAGCAGGCGGGGAGGACTGGCGAGCTACGGGGCCTCTCAGGAAGGAAGCCCCTGGAGGAGCCCCAGAGGAAAGGTCTCCCTCTTGCCGGGGAGGCTTGCCACCCCGGCTCCCCCTCTCTCCCCACGGGCCGTTATTTCCTTGCTGCAGGAAGAAGGGAAGGAAGTTTGGCGGGGAGGAGCCGCCTCGGTTTGTCGTCTCCCGTGCTGAGAGTTGCCGAGGAGGCCGCAGCAGCAGCAGCCGCCCTGCTTGGAGCTGGACAGCGATTTCTCGCCGTCCCCGCTTTCGGGCCTCTTCGCCGTGAGTGGTAGGTTGAGGGTGGGGGGTGACCTTGGGCTCTGCGTCCTGCACGGATGGAGAAGCCGAGAGGCATTTTGGCACGGTCGCCGTCGCCGCCTCGGCCCCTTGGAGCAGTAAGTGGGCCTCGACCGTCTTCTTCCCCCCGTCACGCTTTCCTTGGAAAGTGGAAGCCGCCGCTTTCCCACGAAGGCAGATCCATGCTCCGCTCTTTTCTCGTCTTCCGGAACGGGGGAGCCCTCTTGATCTCCTCGACCCACGCCCTCCACCTCGTATGTGATGGGGGGGGGGGTGTCGAGGAAGAGTCGAGGAAGATTCTTGGTTCAGAGTTAGGGGTTGAGTGGATGGTTCTCGGGATTTTTTTTTTTTTTTTGGTGGGGAAGCAACAAGGCAGGAGCTTCTATCGCCAATTCCCCCATTTTCTTTGGTCGGGAGCTGCTTCAGGAGGGAAGGAAAAAGGTCCCACCCGCTTTCGCTGCCGCCTTGGGGGAGGGCAGGCGAGAGAGAAACTTGGGCGAATCTTCTTCGTCTTCGGTGACTTTTCTGGGAGCCCACTAGAAAGTTGTGGAGGAATTGGAACTTTGGGAGGAGGGTTTAAAGCAAAAAAAAAAAAAAAGGAGGAAAGGAAAAGTGGTAGATGATGCATCTACCGCGAGCGGAGGAGGCCTTGAGTTTGCTGAGTTTGAATCTCTGGTGCAGGCAAGAGTTTTGCAAAGAGAACTGTGCTTTGTGCTCCTACTTGGTATTTGAGAAAATGGCCGAATGCCTATTTCTGGAATGTAACAGCCGCCGCTGCCGATGGTTGGCTGGGCTGGCAATATACATACGTTTGTAAGGGGCTTTTTAAAGTGCAAACTTTTGGACGTTTATTTGTGTCCCTAACCTTGTGATTCATTTATATATTTACAGAAAAAACAACACATGGTGGGGCTTCAAATCAGTTCTATATAGAATCAGACTGAAGGCCCAAAAGGTTGCTGCTCTAATTAATTAAAGATTCATTCTGTCTTTTGAAAACTTTAAAATTGAAATATAGTTTTCTTCCTCTGCTAAGAAGCAATTTCAGATATAAATCTGAGAATTACTGTTTTTTTTATGTTTAGACCAGACAAAGCAAGCATATGTAAATTAAAATTACCCCATGTTATTAGTTTAATTTTAAGACTGAATAGCCCACCCAGCAGCCTTAGGAGTGGAGTAACAAGAGTCCATGTATTTAATTAGAATTTTACCAAGTACATACTGGTTTAAATTTTTGAAAATAAATTGAGCAAATACAATGATCAAATATTCTTATTGCCATGGATTCCTACATACTATAATAGGAATATAGTAATGTAGTCTGGAAACATTACTTTTCAGTCATTTCATAATGACTGTGATCATACATGGTGCACAACAAGCTAATGTGACACATTTTAACTTAGTATTTTGTGCAAACTCTGCCTGAATTGTTTGTTAATGGTTCAGTGAGTTGTCCAACCGCAGAAAATTAAATTAATTCCATAAAATGTTGTGCAGACATAGTCAATGGCTATGAGATTTTGTTTTTGTTTTAGCTTAACCTAGCATGATATGCAGGCAAGGCCATTATGGTTTGTGCAACAAATATAGTTAAAAATTCTAGTTTAGCATATGTGAACTCAGTGTTTTAAAAAGTTGCATAGGGTCTTATTTCCAATTATATTCCTTAAAATCTAATTTCAGTCACAACATATAGTGTATAATAAATACATTTTTACACCTTAATACAGACCTTCTCAAATTTGTCTATGTGAGCTGATAATTGTATTAATTAGGTTATTAACTACAGTGAGTAAAATACAGAGCAGTTAACTTGCCTGATAGAAGCCTGATAGAACTTATGAACAGGCATGATTCAAGATAAGTGAAGAAAAGTGAAGAATCACAGTTAAGAAATGGACATTCTCTGGGACATCCTCTTTAACTGGCTCTTCCCTATGACCTTTATTAACCATGTTTTTGGATTATTTATTCATTCTCTCCCAGCAGAAGTTTTTTGCAATTGTAGTTTGAGGTATTCCTATATATTTGAAATGTAGATACATCTGTGCAGGAACATGCATGCATTTAGCTCAAATGTCTTAGGTTTCTATTTAATGGAAATAGCCTTAATTTGGATTAGATGTCATTGACAGCCATACTGTGTTTTTTGTTATGTGCAAAAGGAGGCAGTAAGTATACTATGGTTTATTATCAAATTTCATCTCAAAAATATAGTTTGTTAATTTACCAATAGTGACTTGGTTTAGTATTTATATTTGAAGAGGCACACTTGTTTTGTTTTTAGTTCCTGAGTTTTTATGAATTGTTTTGTAATAAGTTCTAGTCAAATTGCAAGATGCAAGGAAATAGTAATTGAAAATTTGACACAAGATTAGTCAAACAATATATGTTTACTTTGCTTTAAATAGATCTTCTGGCTTGTTCAGCCAATTGTGATTAAAGCAGTTTATTTGGTGCTGCAAATTAGATCTGTTTTAAGGAGTTAACAAATTACTCTGTATCTTACAAAAAAGGAGTGATCAACTTTGTGTGATCCTATATAATTTACTGAAAAAGATGATTTCAGTACTGTATGCAACTAATCAGCTTGACTAAGAGAAATTTAGTTTGATTTGCCAATAACATTGCAGTCTTAATTTAATTGTCCTTACTATATTGCCTGAATTATTTTTTTGCTTTGTAGAATTTATATAATTTCTCTATAGAAAATGAAATTTACTCAGATTTCTTTTCTTTAACAGAATTCTTGTTATGGCAATGCAAGTATTGGGGCAATCTGGTGGCAACAGCCTATTTTCTAGCAATACTAACCTTAGCATGGCACTGTCAAATGACATGTATGACTTTTCTGAACTTTCCAAAGCTGAACTGGCAGCACCTCAACTTATTATGCTGGCAAATGTGGCTCTGACAGGAGAAGTTAATGGCAACTGTTGTGATTATATGGTTGATGAAGAAAGGCAAATGGCTGAACTGACAACGGTGGGTAACACCAATTTTTCAGACAGTGATGGAGAAGGAATAGATGATTCACAAGAAACAGAGAATGACCCTGAAGGAATAGAAGATATGGATATAGACCTTATTTCTCCTGAAGTTCATAATGCAGAAACACCTGGACTATCGGAGTCTACTGTTCCTCACTCTTGTAATCAAGAAAAAGTCTTTTCATTGGAAGCGCCAGATGCTGCAGAGAGCATAGATGACAAATGTAAGGGTTTGAAGAACAAACCATTTCGTTGCAAGCCATGCCAGTATGAGGCAGAGTCTGAGAAAGAGTTTGTCCATCATATTCGGGTACACAGTGCCAAGAGATTCATTGTAGAAGAAAAAGCTGAGAAACATGGTCAGGTTAAAGAAACTGACTCTAGCACTACAGAGGAGGTTGATTTTTCTAAGGGGCCTATAAGATGTGATCGCTGTGGCTATAACACTAACAGGTATGATCATTATCTGGCTCACTTGAAGCACCACAACAAAGCAGGAGAAAATGAGAGAGTCTACAAATGCACTATCTGTACATATACAACAGTCAGTGAATATCATTGGAAAAAGCATCTACGAAACCATTTTCCACGAAAAGTATATACATGCTCACAGTGCTCCTACTTTTCAGATCGGAAGAATAACTATGTGCAGCATATTCGAACTCATACAGGTATGTGTTGCATCTTTATAAATTTTTAAAGTCTGTTAATTATAATGAGTTGGTGCCAAATATGCTTGTATTTGTGCTCGTGCATCATAAAGTAAATTTTAATGTAAAGGTTTAACATTTCATTATTTGAAATGTGTGGTCAATTATGAACATCATATAGTGATTCTTGCTGATATGTTGTTAATGAATAAAAATAATAAAGCAATTGAATAGATTATATTTGCAATATTCACTCCATCAAACTAACAGCACTCCAGATCTGCTTTATAGATTGAACCTAGCTGATTGATGGAAAAAGGGATATCTCCCATTGTGAATGGAAGCAATTCCAATACATAATATAGGGAAAATAAAATTGTGCACCTACCAGGCATACTGTATTACTACTGAAAGTTATATAATACATTTCAGAACTACTTTGTTCTGGAACAGTCTTTCAATTTAATGCAATATAACTATTCCAGAGCAGGCAATTTATATAATATTTATTGTTCATACTCTAGTTTAGTACATTCTTAATGTAAAATGTTATTTTGGTTTCTAAATTAGAGGATATTTAGGATTGGACCAACTTAAGAAAAACATTTGCAACAGCTGTAAACTAAATGGGATGTTCTGAAAAATGAAAGTGGTAGTCATGGCAGTGTGATTGAAACCTTGCTTCCTTTTGTATATGTGTTTTCACATCCCTGTACAAATAGATGGAGCTTTGGTTTCATCGCTGCTACTGTCATCTTGACATTTTGGACTACCTCCATGGATGCCACTATTGTAAACTTCCAGAAGTATTAAAACGGAAAAAGATGGATATATTGAATTAAGCTTTGAGCTGCTCCAGCAAATTATAATTGGTTTAGATTTAAGTTTAGGTTTGTTAAGATAAATTGCTTTGAAATAGGTCATTCTTTATTCCACTAACACTAGCAGCTTAGACACTAACATTTTAAATATTTTTAAAATATTTCAAAAGAGAAAAACATTTTGGCATTTAGTTAAAAATCAGCATTTGTTGCCCTTGCATATTTTGAGGGATATAGGGATGTGTGTGTGTGTGTGTGTGTTTTGTGTTTTGTGTGTGTGTGTATATGTATGTATGTATGTATGTATGTAATATATACTGTACTTTCCGGCGTATAAGACGACTTTCTCAAGCTTTAAAATTGGTGCCGAAGTCGGGGGTCGTCTTATACACCGGAAATAATGGTAATTTCCGGCATATAAGATGACTTTCTAGGCATGCGACTCGGCGCCGAAGACGGGGGTCGTCTTATACGCCGGGTCACCTTATACGTCGGAATATACGGTAGATATATCGATATGCATGTATATACACACATACACATATATAAAATTGTTTTATTATAAAAAATAAAATACAAAACAGATAAGCAAATAAAACAAACAAACAATAAAAAAGACAAAAAAGCGTAATCCAAATACCATATGACATAAATGATATTTTTATATATATTAAGATTATTTTAAGTTTTAAAACTTTTAAAAATTTAAAAATTTAGTCATAATTTCCTTGCTCTCAATTGGGAATTCAAAATCACCAATGAATTTGAATAATGGAGAGTTCAAAACAAATGAAAGGAATCATTTGCACATGGCACATAGTAAAATAATGCAATTTGCTACCACAGGATATGGTGATAACTATTACTTTGGTCAGTTTTCATACTCCTTTCATACACGTCCATGTAGGTGTGTTATTAATCCTATCCCAAGATGTAGAAACCTTATGAGGATAATACAAAGTGAAGGACCCAACATTACATAATAGATAACATTCAAAGAGTTGTTGAGGCCATCTGAATATCTCATTGCCTTTTTAGTTCTTTATTCCTATTGCAACAACTAGATCATTGTGGTTTTACAGCTGTGATACAATTATTGTTACCTAGCAACTTAAATAAATATATAAGAATCAGGTATGAAAAAAATGTAAATATAGTCAACTAGCTGCCATTAGTCATATTTAGAATCTTAAAAGGTAGCAAACACATTTATAAATAGTGCAAATTCTATGGTTAGTAGTTGTAATTTTAAAAATACATTCAGAAATCACTTCACCTTGGTATTGGTATCAGAACAGTAAAAAATAGGTATTTTTTTCTCTAGAAATTTTGAATTTTTTTTTCTAGGCTGAACTGGATAGCTAACTTTGAATCTCATTTAAAGGAAATATTGAATAATATTGTTGCCATGAAAACTCTTATTGATTTCTGAGTATAAACTCAGACAAAGAAATTATTAGGCAAAGTATGCTTGAAATAGAGAAGGAACATGCTTCATGTTTTGGAGAATTTCAAAGTGATTTTGGATGCATTGTGCTAGTTTTAAAGAAAGAATTGTCTTGGTTTTATGTAATATATGTGTGTGTGTGTGTGTATTTAGAGAGAGAAATCTTTTATAGGTAAATTTTTCAGTAAAATATGATTTTTTATATACTAACTGTTGAGTAGGGTATAGTCTTTTGTTCAGGCTAATAAATTCAGAAGTTCCAAAGTACTACTATATAAACTGTCTCAAGCAGATCCCATCACTAGAAGTGAGATTGAAGTTGGAAGAGAAACTCTAAGCCAAATTACAAAGAACAGTAATAATCCTTTCCCTGTGCTGAAATGAAATTGATGAAACTTTATTTGAGCCAGAATATCTATGACATTAAGTACATGGCCTAATCTTAAACGCATGATTTCAGAAATAGTCAAATATGGATCAGAATTCTACTTGAGTCAGGAGCACTTTTTGTGCTATGCTGTGGGTGAAGATGAGGGTCCCTATCCCTCTGTTAGCATGAGAAAAATGCTCCCATTAAAGCAAATTGGAATCCCCATTTCCCATATAAATTGCAAGTATATGTCCATTGTTTGGAATCACAAAATGAAAACTTAAGTCCCTGTGTCTGCTGACTTGGGATTCATACCACAATTGGAAATTCCCCCCCAAAATGTTGGTATTCAAGAGCAAGCCATATGATTAGTGTTACAATGCAGTCTCAGAATAAATTTTTAAGTACAGGTAATCCTCGAATTACAACAGTTCATTTAGTGACTGTTCGAAGTTACAACAGCAATGAAAAAGATGACCATTTTTCACACTTACGACATATATATTACATGGTCACATGATCAAAATTCAGGTGCTTGGTTTGACTTTTATTTACGATGGTGGGGGTCATGTGATCACCTTTTGTGACCTAACAAGCAAAGTCAATGGGGAGGCTAGATTCACTTAAACAATCGTGTTATTAGCTGCAATGATTCACTTAACAACTGTGGAAAGAAAGATTGTAAAATGGGGCAAAACTTACTTAACCAATTTCTCACTTAGCAACAAGGGATTATATTGGGCTCAACTGTGGTCTTAAGTCAAGGACTGCTTGTACCTGTTGGGCATTTTGTAGGGCTGTTTTATTTAATGCTACAGAGTAAACCAGTAGGTAGAGTTCATCTGAAGTTCATTTGAAGAAGTATGGGGAAAGAATGAAATTGCAGTCTTCTTCATAAATGAACTTTGAATGTAATGTGTCATTTAAATTATTGATAAATTAAACATTGTAAACAAAAAAATGGAAATTTAAAATCTTTCCTAGATAACTTTCCTCAAATTGCTTATTCTTTTAATTTATATCAAAACTAGCCACATTTAGTCCCTAGCATATTCTTCACTTCCTACTTTTCATATAATCCCTCTCTCTCACTTTATGTGTGTGTGTGTTTGTATATGTATACACAAACATATATATATGGGTCTTTGGTTATTCGGGTTTTCTCCCACGTAAAATTGGAAGTGTCTTGGTGACGTTTCGACGAAGTCCCATTCGCCATCCTCAGGCTGGTGCTTTCGGCTTCGTGCTTCTAGGAGCAATGTGTGATTGTAGCTGTTTCCTCCTTTTAACTGCCAGTGGGGATATGAACTGATTGGATGAGAGCTTGGCAGTGTTCTGATTGGATGGAGGTGTATTCTGATTGGTTAGGAGCTTGGCCTGTGCTCTGATTGGCTGGGGGGTTGGCTGTGCTCTGATTGGCTGGGGGGTTGGCTGTGCTCTGATTGGCTGGGGGAGTGTTCTGTTTGGGTGGGGGCTTTGTTGTGCTCAGGTTAGTCTGAGTTGCAGGGGGGTTTAAAATGGTGAACTGCATTGCTATTTTTTGGCTTCGCGTTCGTGGTCGTGCCTCATCTTCATGGAGGGTGTCAGTTTGCTTCATGTATGGATTGGAGGGGTTTAAAGTGGCTAATGATGTAGCTGTGGTCTGGCTTCTGGTTTGTGGTCGTGCCTCGTCATCGGTGTGGCTTTGGGTTTGTTTTTTGCATGGATGTGTGGTGGTGACATCCTGTGTGGTTTTTGTGAGTGTGGGTCTGGTATCATTTTTTGTGTTAGGGAGTCGTTTGTCAATAAGGGCGGGTTTCCAAATGGCTGGAAGGCGGGAGGTATCATCTCGCTTGTTCATGCTGTGTGGCGTTTTTCTATCTCGATGGCTTCTCTGATTATTCTGTTATTAAAATGTTCACTTTGGGCAATGGTTCTGGTATTTTTAAAGTCAATTTCATGTCCTGTGGCTTTAAGGTGTTGGACCAGGGAAGATGTTGGTTCCTCTTTTTTGACTGAGGTCTTATGTTCTTCAATGCGTGCACTTATTCTTCTGTTGGTTTGTCCAATGTATGTGGTGGGACAAGTGGTGCATGGGATTTCGTATACTCCTTGATTTTCTAATTCAATTTTATCTTTGGGGTTTCTTAGGATGATGGATATTTTTCTGTTTGGGCAGAATGCTGTCTTAATGTTGTGTTTGTGGAGGATCTTACTGATTCTGTCCCTAACCCTAACCCTGTCTGCCAATCAGAGCACAGCCAAGCTCCTAACCAATCATAATACACTTCCATCCAATCAGAACACAGCCAAGCTCTCATCCAATCATTTCATACCCCACTGGCAGTTAAAAGGAGGAAACAGCTACAATCACACATTGCTCCTAGAAGCACGAAGCCGAAAGCACCAGCCTGAGGATGGCGAATGGGACTTCGTCGAAACGTCACCAAGACACTTCCAATTTTACGTGGGAGAAAACCCGAATAACCAAAGACCTACATACAAACACCCGCGAAAACCTCAGAAAACAAACATATATACACATACATACTTAATGATATAAACTAGATTTATACATTTATCTGGATTTTACCTTTAGTTATAACTGAGATATAAATTAACATCTTTAATTCAATTGATGTAAAGCTTTGCTTTTCATTCTTCACTGGTTTTATGATTGTATTTGTTCATTGAAGAAAAAAATGGTTGCTTTATAATTTGAGGTAAATGGAATATGTTCAGCATACAGAGTTGTGAAAATATTATCATTTCTTATGAGTCACTCCTTTATACTTCACATCTTAGAAGCCATCCACTCCCTGTTTCTATCAAGTCCTCTGGTATTCCTCTCATTTGCAATAGAGTTTAGAAGAAATAAGAAACAATGGGAAAGTCTCCTGCTCCCATTTTACTGGGAAGCAAGAGTTTTGTTTGATATAGGAACTTATGACCCTTCCCTCTTTTCCCCAGTTTTAAATCAGGAGGATAGGGCAATCTACCAATTGTGCAGTGATTCTCACCATCACTCTAAAGTTAGGAAAGGAGGAGTGATGATTGTTAGCTAGTCATGTGGTGGCTGTGAAAACTATAATGTGTAGGTGGGAGGAAGGGCAGTTGGAAGCTTCTGGGGTGAGAGCATTTTCTAACAGCAGCGCTCAAGCTGAGTTTTCCTGTTGTGAAAAATTATATATATTTTTGTATTCCTGGTAACAGCTATGTTTACAAAGCAAGAGAATTACTTTTTTAAGTGAAATATGGCAGCTTGTGATATGTTGGAAGTATATGCCAGCCATATTGGTCTCTGGGAAAATAATTATGACCCAGTACAGTAATTTAATTTTCTATGACAATGTATTTTATACTTGATTTAATGCTCTGTTTTCACAGGCGAGCGTCCCTATCGATGTTCCATGTGCCCTTATTCAAGTTCTCAGAAGACTCATTTAACGAGACATATGCGTACTCATTCAGGTTGGTAAAAAGGCAGTTCAAAAGAGTTTTGATAGTATTTTACTCACATGCAGCATTTTACAGAGTTTTCCATCTTAGTGCTGAAAGCTAGCAATGCAGGACTGTATGAGCTAAATAAAAAGCAAAACAAAAAGCAGGCTGTTATTTTGTAGTGCTAATCTCTGTTAAGTATTACGTATGTTTGTTGATGCTCAGACTAAGCCTTATTAGGAAGATGAATGTTAATTCTTGGTTAGAGGCAAAATTCGATCTGCATTATTCTTATTTTCTCAAATCCTATAGAAAATTATATTCACTATTTTAGGATCTATTCAGTTTTATATATTTTATGCATCAGAACGTATGAAGTGCTTTCTAAAGCAGGAGGGTGATAGACATATTTTGTGCCTACATCTGTTTTTGAGTCTTCCTCTTCTTGAAGATGCTTTCCTCTAATTTCCAAACTTTTTTTTAAGGAATTTCTGTGCTGTTTTTATTTTTAAAAATGTGGTGATAGTTCAAAATGCTTATTTGCCTTAGATTACTTTAATTGGTTAAAGTAAGGGCTAGCAACCTGTCAGGTCTCTGATCCTTCCAAAGCTCACTTGAAATCTTAAAGGCTTGCCAAAGCTTGTGAATTGTTAGTGAAGTTGAGAAATTCTATTTTAATTCAGTTCAGGTTTTGGGAAGCCTTGGTTATCATGTGGATTGTTGGAAGGTCTGACATTTGAGGATACCAAGTTGCTGATCTTATCTAAAATTACACATTGCAGTATTATATATCATATCATGTATGAATTGATTATCCTGTAAAATAATGCGTTATTGAAAAGGTCTTCTGAGGAAAAAAAACCTATTCTAGAAAGAGTATAAAAGTAACAGTTACTGATGCAGCAGCAGTTTCTGTAGCCTGGCCCTTCAATTCTTTGTTGACCCACATAGCCTTTGTTTTTGGTCTTACTGGCTCTTTAACAGCCACACTTTGCTTTTTAGAGTAGGAAGCCAATCCATTATAGGGATATAGAGATGCTGTACTATACAGAATTGAGTGGATGGTATATAGCATGCTATCAGTGAAATGTGTAGTAGCAATGCAGTGCAGAAAGGCTAAGCCCCTTTTTCCAATTTGGCACTGTACAAGAGAGTTGGTAATCTCTACTACCTGGTACTCAGTGTAATCCATAACTCAAACTAGGTAATATTGCAACCCATTGCCTTCTTGCATATCTTCCAAAACTTAAGATTAAATGCAAAGAATGCTCAGGAGCCTGGATCAATGAAGTCCTGAGTAGAGCTTGCTTAGTTAGAACACTAGTTTTAGGGGTTAGGAAGGAAACCAATTTGAATCCTGTGAGCAATATTTTTAACTCTTATTGCTTAATCCACAGGATGTTTTTTGAGCTTTGATGTTGTGTTTGTACTTGTATGCATTTTCTTTTGGGTTGTCTGTGTCACTCAGCTAAACATATAACAGTACTGATAGCTGAAATCTATGCCCAAAGTTAGAGCCAGTGTAGTACTTCCACAGCCATGTGATGAAAATTCGAGCACTCGGCAGCCTGCCCCTACTTATGACTACAGGAGTGCTTCAACTTCCCCATCACCTTCCCCATCTATGCTCTTCTATCCTTCTACATTCCATGGCTCCCGCTGACCAAGCTAACCTTTGCCATTTTCTTGCTTCTGCTGCTGACCAAGCATGCCCTTGTGAGGCAGCTGCTGACTGCACCAGACCTTCCAGAGGTCGTGTGTGGTCTTCTCCAAATCATGTGAGGCCTAGCAAGGTTTTGAAGCCTTCCAAAGACTTATGAGAAGGCCATTCATGAGCTGGCAAGGCTGCATGCTGTTTGGAGAATTGTGCAAATGGCCTTGGAAGAAGGCTTGGACATGCCTTGTCAGCAACAGGACAAAGAAGACAATGAAGGTCAGTTGGCATGGTGGAAAACAGGGCAGCAAAGGTCTTCTGACAGGGATGGGAGGGCAGCTGCTTTGCTCTGCCCTGTTGGAGCTTCCTGGAGATTTGATGTTTCCCTGGGTGTTCAATGCTTTCTGAATACTGGGTGTTTTGCACTCTGCTGTGGACACTTCCTGGGCATTTGGCACTTCTCAGAATATGGCGCCTTTACACCACACTGGTGGGTCAAGCTGGGGTGATTAAGGCTTCCCGGGTGGCTGTGGCTTCTTTCCCTAGTTTCCCTGTACTCGCACTGCACTATAACACCCTCCCCCAGTTGCACACGGCCTCCCCCCCCTCCCCCCGTCTCCCTGAATCCCCTGAAGTGCCCCCCCAGTCTACTTAGGACTCCCTCTGCTTAACAACCAGTGATTCTTGTTTAATAATTGCATGTGACATCTCATTTTATGACTTCACTTAGCATCATAAATTCCAGTCCAGTTGTGGTTGTAACTATCTGTATTGACTGCTACTTGTAGCAGTTTATTATAAACATTCCTTATTGTTCTTTCAATTTGATTTGTTCAAATGTGAGTGTTATTGTGTATTTGGGAGAATAGCACCAGAAGAGTGATATAAGCATGCTTGAGGGAAACAACATTTTTATAAATACAATACATAAACAAACCCCCAAATCATTTATCCTATTCAGTTTGCTCAACTACATAATTTTGCAAACATTTTGTGACAATAAAGTTAAATTGCAGCAGCAAAAATCAATATGTTTAACATTCCTTTTTATTGTCAGCTTATCCATCATTTTTGCTCAGAATAATAAAGTAAAATATACTGATTATCCAAATGGTTTGATTGACATTCAAAATATTACAATATTATGCTGCCAGGAGTGGGTTGGGGGACCTGTTTTTCCTTCATGAGAGTATATTCTCTTTGGGGATGTGTACAATAATTTTATAAGATAACTATTCATCTATAATTTCCATTTTTCTACATTGCCTTCAATGGACCAGTTTGGTTTGGATTCCAAATGCTAATAATACTGTAGAGTGATCTGGTATGTATATAACATAGATGGAATGTCTAATGATTTCTTGCATGTTTGTTTTCTTGTATTTTGTTGCTTTTTTTGTGAACATGTTAAGTGGAAAATCAAATTATTCTTAAATGCAAGAAGTTCAATAGCATGATGAACTGTATAAATCTGTAGCTGTACATAATTTACAATGTAAATGGTTAGTAATTGTAATGTAATGGTTAGTAATTGCTTCTTCCTTGCTTTAGGTGAGAAACCATTCAAATGTGAACAGTGCAGCTATGTGGCATCAAACCAGCATGAAGTAACTCGACATGCAAGGCAGGTTCATGATGGGCCCAAACCATTGGCTTGTCCCCACTGTGATTACAAAACAGCTGACAGAAGCAATTTCAAGAAGCATGTTGAACTCCATGTCAGCCCTCGTCAATTCCTTTGCCCAGTTTGTGAATATGCTGCATCCAAGAAATGTAACTTGCAGTATCACATCAAATCCAGACATCCAGACTGCTGTGATATCACAATGGATGTCTCAAAAGTAAGATTAAGAACTAAAAAGAATGAGGTTAACACTTCTGAGAACATTAACACTGAGAATAAAGTAGAACAAGAACAAACAAAGAAAGAGTTGACTGAAAAGAAAAATGAGAGAGTTGTAAAGGAGGAGAAGAAAGAGAGTTTGTCAAAAGATAAGAAACCAACTAGTACTGCAAGCGTAGGCCAGATCACAACAAGAAGCCGCAAAATAGTTGATGAAAGAAAAGAAGAAAATGTGAAAATTGAAAAAACTAATAAAACTAAGAAGGCAAAAAGGAAAGCAGAGAATAGCTCTATTTCATTGACAAAAGATTTATCTACAGATATTGACGTAATAGTGAGAAAGAAAAAGAAAACTGAAAAACTACGACCTAAGAGTCAGGGTGAAAGCAAATTGGAGGTGACCAAAAAGTCAAATACTTGCCTTAAAAAAAACAAAAAAAGGAAATATTTGAAGAATAAAGCTGCTAAGAACAATAACATTTCTGACAGCAAAAAGATCCCAGATGAAGCTTCTGTTCCTAAAGAATGTTTTCTTATCCATGAAAGACAAAGGAAGACATCTAATACTTCTTCCAGTGAGCAGGAACCTGTGCTTCTCGTTGATGAAGAGAATCAATTTACACCTGAAAATAATGTACATCAAGAGCTACATGAACAGCATATAGATACAAATATCCCAGTAGAGATGAAAAACCAAGAAATACTTACAGAACAAGAGGAGATTGCAAAAGCTGTTTCAGAGAATAATATTGAAACAGTACTGGCAGTTATGCCTGAGACCAGCTCTGTGGATTCAAATACCACCATGGAAAAAGAAGCAAAGGACATTTTACCAGATTTATGCCAAGATATTCAGATGACACAAACCTGTGAGATAGAAAGTGTGACTGATCCAGATTTAGTACAAGAAATACGGTCAGTGCAAACATGTGACAAAGAGAGAATGAATAAAGCACATCAAGAAGATGTTTGTTCTACAAAACAATTAAAGGCTGAGGACCTAGCAGGAGCTCAACCTCACCAAAAACCAGAAAAACTTGAACAAAATACTGGAGGAGATTTGGCTTCATCATCACCAAGTGGCACAATAGTGAATGAAAATCAGGATGTGGAAGAGGATGAAGGTATCCATAGTCATGATGGCAGCGATATAAGTGACAACATATCAGAAGGCAGTGATGATTCTGGATTAAATGGTGCTCGGACGGCCCAAGAAAAAACAGGTCAGAAATCACCCCAAGAAGTAGCAGAAGCTAAAGCTACAAAGGAGAACTATGTGTGTATATTTTGTGACCGATCATTTAAAAAAAAGGGTGAATACAGTAAGCATCTGAACCGACATTTGGTAAATGTATACTATCTTGAGAAGGCAACAAAGGAGCAAGATTAACCAAACAGTTTAATGACAATTTATTCCTTTTTGTAAAATCTTCTAGAGCTTAGGTACAGTTCTTGTAGAATCTTTGCTTAAGCTCAGTATGCTTTTACTATTAAGTTGTTGGTTGGTTATTTCCCCCGACCTTTGAAGAAATGTTGAACTAATTAACTGTTTGTTTCTCTTTGATTAGAGAAGGCAAATAGGGTATGAAATGTTGTGGCTTACAAAGGTGACAAAAGTCCTTGGGATATAGCCCTTGAATCACTTGTGTGTTTCTGTTGACTTGCAACAGATATATATATGTACAACTTCATAGGTTTAGGAATGGACAGCCCAGGGCAACGTTCACGGGAGTTGCTCCTGTACAAGCTCTTTAGGAATGAGCTGAAAATGCATAGAAGTATGCAAAACCACGCTCATGCTCTTGCAGAAGTCTGTTTATTTCCATGGAGCTTGAATTATAGATGGTACCAGTTGATTAAGCCCCAAGTCTGTGCCTGTCCATTTAATACATTGTAAGGAGAGAGTTTAACCTGAAAAAATCTCAGGCATATTCTGCTCCTCTCTTTCCCTTAATGGAGAAAGTAAAATAACCAGAGTTTACTTCAACGTGCTATATTTTTGATCACCTACTAGAACTGCTTCTTGAATCCCATTTATGCACACTTACCACAGTATGGAATTTCATGCAGTTCTGTGCCATTGCAATAGGTGAACACCAGAACTATATGGATAAGAACAATTGTTTGAGTATATCTGATGTGTTCAAATGTGCCCATACGTTTCTGATGATCAGAATACTGCCAGTCCACAAATGGGGATGTTCTAGATATAGATTATATGATCAGGGAATACCAATTTTAATACATTAACAGCTTATTCCATGCAGAACCTCTTCCTTAAAAGATGAGCATGAATTCTGGATACAAAATCCTGAGGTTGCTTAATAACTCTTTGAAAATTTGCCAAGTACATAGGTCATCTTTGCTAACAAAGTTGTTATATAAATGGAATCTTAGAAATAAAAAATATATAACGTTGATGTTCCTAGCAGAATCTGTTTTGGTTCTTGTTTATCTTAATGTATTGGTAGGGTGAGTGCTTAAAAAAACTCAGCTGTACAAGAAACACAGTAGCTTATTTTGTAAAAAGAGCACTTTTGGAAAAAATGAGGTTCATTAGCGGTAAAAAAAAATTCATGAACATATTTTTAATTTGCATATACATTTCAGGTCCCCCAATCATGATCAGCAAGCCAAAATCTTGAAGTTCTTTCCATCTATTGATTGGTGAATCCATAATTTGGTAAATACTTCTTTAAAAAAAGGTCATTTCCTTTTGTGCTTTAAGACAAGAAAAATGTTGCACATTATTGTTTTTATTTTTACCTATGCAGTTTAAATCTTTAGGAGTTTAATATTTTTGTTGTATATGTACATTTTATATATGCATGTTTAGTTTTGTTAAATCAGTTTCTTCCCTTAAGATTGACACTTTCAGGTTTGTTGCTTATCATGGCCAGTATTCTCTGCTTCCTTTGACTGTAACTTTCTGATTCTATATTGACTGGTATGTTTTTTTTGAAAGGTAACAGGCCTATAAAATTGCTTTATTAATTACATCATTTTGGACAAATATTTCTGTATATTTCTGATTTAACTATGTTAATGTTGTACAAATAAGTCACATGTTCCTATTAGTTTCAATAGAACTGCACAATGTCTTTATAGGGGTTCTCTCTAATGAAAATTGGGAACTTATCCTTCCTTTAAGAAGGCTATTTAAACTTAAATCTCTATATAAGTTTACATTTAAAGAGCTTTCTTCATTAGAAGAATTATGGACCCAGCCCATTGTTATTTGTATATATTCTGTTTTAATACAGATAATACTTCTGCTTTTTTGCATTACAAATATTTTTGCCATGTTTCCTCATTTCTTGGTGAAATTAAAAGTATTAATAGAAGTACTTACTTGGTTTTAAGACATTGCTAGCATTATAAATGAAATATCCATTGTAATGAATAATTAATTATCACAAAAATAAAAGGCTTGGACCATAGCTCATATTACATTATGCTTTTTCCCAATGTGCATTTATTTCAGTGAGTGTTAATTATACTCTGTTATACTCTGAAATTGCCTTGATAGAATCAAATCGCTCATTTCAAAGTCCAATAAATTAAAAAAATCCTGGTAAGCAACAAACCTTGAAAATGTCAATTGTAAAAATTTCCATTTGCATTAAATCAAGTTCTAATCACCCATTGATCCTTTTTTATAATTCACATAAAGAAAAATTGAAATGATCAGATATCTGAAGAATAAATGTTCAGGCACAGGGAGAGAAGCACAACTTTATTTTAAAGACTTTATTAACAGGTAAGATTTGCTTGAATGTTTTGAAAACACAGATAGCAAAACTGAGCTTGCAACCTTTCATTCTTCTTCATTTTCAAATATTTTTTCTTTTTGTAAATTTATAGATGTAAGTGTGATTTCCAATACAGCAAATTAGCAGATACGAAAACTTGCATTGTCAAAGTCCACAATCTGCTGCAAAGCCCCATTGCTGTGTTCTTGAATTGTTTTGGTTCATGTCTTACTGTGTATGCATGAGAATCTCTTGATTATATCTCCAGATGGCTAACAAGAGACTTATTTGCTGCTTCAAAAATATTGAAACAAACTGTAATATTTAATTTTTTCCCTTGAAGAAAGCTGATCTTGCATTATAGTTTGGATTATATTTAATTTTTCCATATTCCCTTCTCTTTTTTCCTGGAAATGTTTATAGCTGTTTCAACATAATTAGGCTGAATTGAGAAACCTAACACTTTTGTATAGGTATGGATGGCAGATTTGCAATAGAGGCCAAAGATCTGAGAGAGAAAAACCCTTTTGGGCAAAAACAAATTGTGTAATGTTAGTTATTTGTGTGTGGAAAACTATGTCAAAACTTACTTCGCTGTGACAATCATTGTCAACTGAGAATCAAGTTGCAACTATATTTATGTTGATCCATTAAACATTGTGGAATTGTCTTCCTAACCAGTTAGCTAAAGTAGCATTATTCACAGTTCTGTTGACGGATGTAAAATATTGTTGTTTTATATGAGGGTTGGACAGAGACTGGAAACTCCATTACGCTGTGGATTTTTTAAAATGTCTTCCTATTTTAAGAGAGATACTTTCATTTTGTAAGAGCCTTTGTGGCCTTGGCCTACATTACTAGCAATTTTCTTAAACCAAGTTGGTTAGAGAAAAAAAAGCAGATATTTAGTAGTAATAGTGTTAATCACATCAGATAACTTGATGTTAAAATGATATATGACTTGAAATAGGTACTAGAAGATGATTAGAGATAAAGGTTTCACAGTAGAAGGGATTAGAAAATAGTGCCTGTATTCTTGAGCATGAGAATGCAAAGGAATGAAGTGTTAAAAGAACAAATATGCCAGTGATATTATGATGTGTCTTGAGATTTATTGGCTTTATAACTATCATAAATCCCAATATATTATTACCTGTTGTCTGTTTAGAAAAAGACAGAATTACATGTTTTAAAATATACCAGTAAAAGATGGAATGTCACTCCTATCTTCATGTTAGATGTAGCTAATGGATGAATAAATTAGGAATAAAAGTATATATAACATAATATATGTTTACTTAAGGTAGTTATTTCTTAAATTGAACATTAAGATCATAAGGATTTGGATTTTTTCCCCAGCTTCTATACTAAAAGAAGGCTTCTTATAGCAGCAGTGCATATTGCAACATCTCAACTTAACAAATACTTTAGTATGTCATGTTGAGCACTATAGATGGTAGCACTGTTAGTGTTTGTGGATACAAATACTTAAATTAAATTCTACAAGTAAATTAAAGGATAAGCAGGAACTTGCAATACGACTGAATATTGCTGCTATCTGGAGCTTGATTTAGACATAAGGCAGGAGTGGCAACCCTTTTTAGTCTGAGGACTGCAATTCTACCCGCAGCCAGCTGGAGAAAAAAGGATGCTTTCCAATGATTCGTAGGTGTCACTGGAATTAACATTATTTTTCAACCCATTTAAAACCTTTTGGAGGAGATCTAAGAGAGAGAATGGGAGCAGGAGGCATCAGAGTGGCAAACTGCTCCAGTTTTCACACTTATTTCCCCTATTGGTTTAAAAATGTGCTGCCATATTATGGCTGTGTGATTTGAGGCTGTTTTGGACTATTTTTTAAAAAAAGTGAATGATCTGCCTCGCAGAGGCCTCCTGTTCCTATCGCTATTCTAACTTTGGGGTGGGGAGGATACAAGTTTTTAAAAATTGCACTGCTGAAAGTTGGCTATTCTCTGCTGAATTTCAGTGGTGCAATCCTCAGGGTGCTAAAAGGCCACCTGTGACCTAGAAGTTTCAATTTTTATAGGCAAACTGACAGGTCAGTTTATGCACAACATTAATGATTTCAGTATAAAATACGTTTAGCTGATAAGTTGTAAAGAGAAGTTCATTTAAATTTATTGAATCTTCACTATATAGCTAACATGCTGAGGTACAGTATTGATATCCAAATAGGTTCAGGAAGTGTTTCAATAAATATACAATTTTCCACCTTTTAAAATTCAAATCACACTAGCTAAAGAACTTTTTGTAAGCTGGCACTGAAATGTTTTATGTTTGGTTGCACCGTGTTTGATGCTTTTAACAGTGCAATACTTGTATTATTCTCTCAATTTAAACCAAAGGTAATTTGTTCGTGCTTGCTATCTACTGTAGTGCATGGTGCTTTTATACAATTGTAATAGATGTAAAATCAGAACAGATCACATGTCCTGGGTTTTTTATTTACCTAAACTATGTACAAGTCTTTGTTCAAATTATAAAGTGTTAAACTAAATTGCATATTAACCCTTGAGTGTATTTTCCTAAGCATAGTTATAAGGCAATAAACTTTATTAAGGAATATGCATACTGATAATTTGTCTTTTATTCATTCCTATATTACAAATGCCTATTATGTATGAATTCATGGTATGAAGATCTATGTTGGCTTAGTGAATGATAAGGAGAATTTTGTATATACTAAAATGGAAGAAAATTATGAACAATTGGAGATTGGCTAAGTCAATCACAGTCATTCACTAAGAATACACATTTAAGTGGGCAATGGATCCATGACCTGTAAAGAACCAGATTGCAATACACTTGATGTAGAACAGGATGGTAGTCAAATCGTCCTTTGGCATTTAGGATTACATTTATTTTATTGGGGAGGAATAAGCTGGGTGATGATAATTAAAAGGAGGGTATTGCAATATTTTGCACTTGGATGAACCTGACTTTCTTGATTATTTCTGATTTTGAAGGAGCAAGCTTTTACTTGAATTAAAATAATTGAGACAGTTAAGCCTTATCTTTACATTGTCATGTTTATCCTTTTTCAAAGATTTTACAATTTTATATGACCTATTCTTCTGTAATGAATTATATAATTAACACACATGCTTAAATTGATCGCTTGTTGAGTTTTTGTAATCGTAACAGCCATTCAAAATTATGAAGGTAATGAACAAAGAGACTTGGAATCTGTACCCAAAGTTATGCTATTGCATTTCTTTTGCAATCATAAGATTGTGATCTGGGTGCTTATGAGGTGTGTGTGTCTCTCTCTGCTCAGGGGCCGAAACTCTTGCTTGGATTTCAGCAAAGAGGATTTTCAGCTCCTGCGTGGAGAGACACTCAGGCATGGCCTCTGCTGGGCCTTCCAGAGTTTTCTCCATCTCACACATCTTGCCTGGGACTCCATATGCTTAACCATCTGTGAGAACTGGGAGTGCAGAAATTGTGGTTGTTGAAAAAAGCAGTCACATGGTATCTCATTTAATGACCACTTTGCTCAATGACTGCGATTCTGGTCCCAATTGTGGTAGTTAGGCAAGGTCTACTTGTACAAATAAATGCTACTGCTTATTTACATCTTAGTTCTCTAAAATAATCTCAGAAGAGAAAACATTAATGGCATCAGAAACAAAATAATAGAATGAAATCCAATAAGCTTTGTTCCACAGAACCTGAAAGAGAGAGAATTCTCCTCTCCATAGCTCTTGCTATTCACTTAGCCTCTTCTCCAAAAGGCTAAAGAACTCCCCAGAATAGCCTGATGGGACGAGAGCTCTGGAAAAGGATGGCAGCAAGATAAGATTTCTCCCGCTCTGTGAAAATTTTAAATTTAATATTGTAGCTTTTAAAAGGGAAGATTAAAAATTAAGGGATATTGAACCAACAAATACCAATGGATCAGGGGTTCTCAACCTTGGCAACTTTAAGACTTGTGGACTTCAACTCCCAGAATTCCTCAGCCAGCTTTGCTGGCTGAGGAATTCTGGGAGTTGAAGTCCACAAGTCTTAAAGTTGCCAAGGTTGAGAACCCCTGCAATAGATAAAAATAGTATTTTAAAGTGACATGTGTATAATACTACGGTAAGTTTATTCTGGAGACATATTGAGCTAGATGGATCTTCCTTATTCATATTCAATGTATATAAGATTGGAGCCTTATTGATCAGATTCTTATGGAAAGGTAGCATGTAATAAACTTTTAGTTCTTTGAACTCAACTGTTGCTGGTTACTTGCGCTTGTCGAGAGATGACTGGCCCAAAGTCACCCAACTGGCTTTCATGGCTAAGGGAGAACTTGAGCTCATAGCCTTCTGTTATCTAGTCTGGTGCCTTAAATACTAGACCAAACTGGCTCTCTACTAGTCTCAATTTAAATGAAAGGATGCAATAATTTTGAAGCAGGAGATATTTCTGCAACAGAAATGCTGTATCATGAAAGCATAAATTAAACCAGCGGTTCTCAACGTTTGTGTGACGGCGACCCCCGTCACACAAACATGCGCATGCCCCCGGAGGCGCGCCAGAGGCGCGCCGCCGCCCCCATGCCTGGTGCGCATGCGCGGCGCCGCCCCCGGAGGGGACAAAATGGCGGATCGCTGCCTTTGGCGATCCCCGAAAAGTGGTCGATCGACCCCAAATGGGGTAGCGACCCATAGGTTGAGAACCGCTGAATTAAACCATAGCACTGCTGGGGCAAATGCATAGTTTGCAGCAAGCAGACTAGAATATATTCTTAAGAGTCTTTCAGTCCACTCAAGGTTGCAAACACTAGGAATAATACAGTGATTGCTAAATATTAATAATTTCTAATAATTATTAGAAATTCTGTATCGTACTCCTGAGAGTTGTGATCAAGGGGCCAAGTTAGTAAGATGTACTTCCAGGATTTCTTGGTATTGCCATCAACCTTGTGTACATAGAAATACTTAACAATAATTAAATTGGCAAAATATCTGTGGAGATAGTCATCCAGGTCATAGTTGTCTCAAAGGTGCTTTTTTTTTTTTTTCGTCAAAAGGCATCTGGACTGTTTTTTCCTTGAGGAAGAGAAGAAAACATTTTGTATCTCATCCAAGAAGCTTCATCAGTTCTGATGGCAGGATGAAAGGATAGGTTCTGAGTGGATGGTGAGGGGAAATGTATTTCTTTGCAGTCATCTGGTCGTTAGTGCTCTCTGAGAGCTGTTGAGGCCACTTGGGAGTGTTTATCTGTGCCCTCAGGATCACCTGAATCATTGCAATTGGTTGTGAATCTTCTTGGAACTGTTGCAAGAGTTGTGTTATAGACTGGAGATAGGCGGTGTCTTATTCCTCCCCCTCTATTGAGGGAAGACTAAATTAAATTGGCAGATTATCAGAACAACCAGTTTAAAACTTGTTATGTATCTTTGAAATCTTGTGTACTGTAATTCTTGCCTTCTTTTTGTCACACTAGCTCTTCAGCAGCCATTGTATGGGTACATTCTCTCTACTCCTGCTTTAAGAATGTGTTGCTAGTAGTGGAATTCTGCATATTTTCATATTGTTGAAAGCTACATTCTCCTGAGACACCTTGGTTTCTTATGAGTTGAGAAATTATGTAAATATACTGCATTTGCTCATTTTGCATAATTTCATTTTAAATTTTTAATTTTTTTGTCTTTCTGTTCAAAATTATATGTAGTGAAAAAGTATTATTTGGTTCTGAAGTACTCTTTCCTTGTGTTCTTCAACAATTTTTATGTTTTCTAAGATTGCCTTTGGGATTTGATTATGTGCCGTTAAGTTTTTGTCAACTCTTAGCAATTACATAAATTTTCTTCTTACCTGGTCTTCTAAGCATATACCGTATATGCCGGCATATAAGGTGACTTCTGGAAACGCTAAAATCGGCGCCGAAGACAGGGGTCGTCTTATACGGCGGGTCGTTTTATACGCCGGAAATACTGGTAGTTTTCGGCGTATAAGACGACGTTCTAGGAATGCGGCTCGGCGACAAAGATGGGGATCGTCTTATACGCCGGGTCGCCTTGTACACTGGCATATACGGTACTCATCACTGTGTCCATTCACCTTGCTGCTGGTGTCCCCTTCTGTATCCTTTCAACTTTCCCAGCATTAGAGCCTTTTCTATCTTCTCATAATATGTCTGAAGTAGAATAATTTGAGCTTTGTTATTTGTGCCTTGAGTGAGATTTGTCTGATAATCCTTGTATTCTCAGGAGTCTTCGCCACACCAAAATTCAAAAATGTCAAGACTCTTCCTATCCTGTTTCATGAAAGGTCATATTTTGCCTCCATAGAGTGTCATGAAGAATACCATTGCTTGCACTATTCTGGTCTTAGTCACATCACAGTATGTCTTCAAAGCCTTAAGGAATGGAAAGTCCCATTGGAAATAGGTCTTGTCATTAAGCAAATCTGAACCAGATTCTTGTGCAGTCACAATATGTATATTAAAGTTCATGTGGGGTGGTCTTAGAACTCTCTTTAAATTGAAAGATACGCAGCACAATTTCTATTTTATTAGGCAGCACGCACTTCTGTAATGAACAGTAAAACAGCTATGGTTAGTTTGATTAAATTTACATATTGTATGAACAATAACAGTGCAGCCTGTTTTCTGATGACCCTAAGTTCTTAAAAGTTATAGTGTGATCATAAGCACCAGGCTACAAAGCAGGAGACTCTTGAGTTCCAGTCTTGCCTCAGCCATAAAAACCAGCTGGGTGACTTTGAGCCAGTCACTGTATCTCAGCCCAACCCACTCACAGGATTATTTATTGTAGGGAGAATAGAAGGAGGAAAGTGTGTTGGATATGTTTGCTGCTTTTAGTTGTTTGTATAAATAAAATAAGTGGGATAAAAATAAACAAAAAATAGTTACAATAATGAATAGTTGAATGCTGCTCATATTTCCATTTCATATACACCAGTGGCCCCAACCTTTTGGGCACCAGAGACCGGTTCTATGAAGAGAGGTTTTTCAGTGGACCGGAGGAGGTGTGGTTTCACATGATGCCTGCATCCCACAGATGGGGCTTTGCTTGTTTGCGTGACCCAGTTTCTGGCATGCTACAGCTTGGTGCAAGTCCTTGCTTATCTTTCCTCAGACTCTCTCAGCAATAGGATCAATGTCTAGGCTCAGATTTGCCACACCACCCCAACAGCCCAAGATAATTTTTCCTACCATTATTATAGAAGAAATGGCTCTATTCTCTACACCTTTTATCAATAATTTATTAGCACGGGAAAAGAGAAGCCTATCTTGCCATTTTGTCACAATCACAGTCACTGGTGAGAGTAAAGCTTTTGCTTCCCACTCACATTCCTGATTGAAGAAGTATTGATATTTAAATAGCTCCTACAATGCATTTCTGTACCGGTGGATCCAATAGCAGCAGTTTTGTTCTTTTTTTCACAAATTGTGTTACCCCTCAGTTATTTGGCCTCTGATGTATCAGTCTGAACCAAAATTGTTCACCTACACAGTCACTGTCCTGACACAGAACAGAATGTTGAGTATGACTTAAGCATATATTGAGAATTAACTTGTCTCATAAAACAGGCTGTAAGATATGTATTAATCTAG